GACCTCTGTGAACACACTCCAGTCCATGGTGGAACAAAAACCACCTTCTAAGATACAGACCTAGGCTTTCGGTTCTCTCTGTGACCATCCTTCTACTTTGCATAGCTGAGAACACCCAATCTATTGCACACCCTAAGAAGCCTCCTTACCATATACAACACTTCACTCTGCTGCTGTGATCTGTACTAGGAACCGAATTTGGGTCTATAGCCATAGTGGGGGATGAGGGGCTGGACCTTGAGGGCAGAGTCTGGAAAACAACATTGACAAGGTCCTGACAGTGGCCTCTGCAGAGGCCTTCTACTCCATGCACAGAGCAAGCTAGCCAGAGGTCCCAGGGAGCATGCACAGAGCAAGATAGCCAGAGCTCTCAGCTTTGTAGAAACCTCAGCCCCAGCTTCCCCAGAACAATGTGAGATGGCCACACAGCTCTTCCTAGTGGGCATGGCCCAGTTGCCACAGTGCTGTTTGCTTTTCCTCATCCTTTTCCATTAGCCCACCCCCTCCTACCCAGCACCTCTTGGTATCACTCCCCAAAGAAACTACATGCACTGACATTCTAATCTTGAGCTCATTTAAGAAGAACCTCAGACTCTCTACAGGGGAGACCTTCTGTTTCAACAGTGTGCCAACTGTTAGCTCCATCAGGAACCCTGACAGGCAGGAGCACACAGTCATCTCCATAGGTTTGCCATCAACCAAGGGGTCACAGGAACACGGAAAGAAAGATGCTTGCCTACGGACGAGCAAACATAGCTATGCACAGTCTATGAAAGAGATTCCTGACCACCAGCGCTGCTCCCCAAATCAGAGCTGGACAAACACATCTTTAAATACATTCATTAAATGTTTCCACTCTCACTGAAATGCTCTCTTACCGGGCAATTAAAAAAATAAAGAAGGATTCTCAGAGAGGCTGGGCAGTTGTTTGCAGCTGCACGGGGCAGGTGCCACCTCTACGCCACAATACAGATTTCCCCTTTGTAAGATGACTTACTGACACCAGAAAGGCATTTAAGTCTATCCAAAAAGGGAAAACTGTGATGAGCCATCTATAATCGCTACTCATTTTGTGCTAGGTTGTGTTCAGAAAAATCCTTGAACTGACGGCTCCAAACAATGCAGCACAAAGTGATGGAGAAACGAATCAGCATCAGGCAGAACTCTTATCAATGCCCATCCTCTCCTCAAAACCGTCCAGTTGGCTGGCAGCACATCACTGGTTCCCTTCCATCAAGAAAATGCATCAGTCCATCCTAGAAATGGCGCAGAGGGAGAGTTAGCTGCTCCGCAGGGCCCAGTCTCCTAAAGCATGGAAACACGATCTCAAAACCATAGTGTTACACACATGGACTCCAACGCCAAACAAGAATCAAACTTAGCCATGGCTGTGAGGCATCTTCAGATGCTACAACATAAGCTCTAAGAATGATGGCATTTAACCTGTTTCTTTGGGAACAGCCCCTACAACTTCAGTCTATGGGAATACCATAATACCCCTAGTGCCGGGAACAGACAGGAAGTATTAAACTTACCTCTCTCAAAAAAGTCCCCCATTATAAAACACCAAAAGGTCAATGTTTTACTGAAGACAAGCCTGTGTTTGCTATCTCTGGTGTTGATTTTTCGGCTCTGTCATGATTTTTTGGGGGGAGGAGGTTACTCATGTGGTTTCTTTCCTTTATTTCTCTTTCTCTTCTTCTTCTTCTTCTTCTTCTTCTTCTTCTTCTTCTTCTTCTTC